CACTTTAGAAATAGGAAAAAAAAAAAAATTCTAAAATTTGTATGGAACTACAAAAGACTCCAAATAGCTAAAGCAATCCTAAGCCCCCAAAACAAAGTAGAAGGCATCATACTACCAGACTTCAGAATATACTTCAAAACTACAGAACCAAAATAACACAGCACAAAAGCCAGAAACAGGTCAATGGGACAGAATAGCAAACCCAGAAATCAATCCACATATCTACAGCCAACTAATTTTTGATGGAAGCAGTAAAAACACTTGTTGGGGAAAGGATAGTCTCTTCAATAAATGGTTCTGGAAAACCTGGATATATCCAAATGCAGAAGAAAAAAATTAGAGTCTCACCTCTCACCCTTTATAAAAATCAACTCAAAATGGATCAAAGACATAAGAGCAAGACTTCAAACTATAAGACTATGGGAAGAAAACATAGGGAAAATGCTTTAGGACATTGGTCTGGGGAAAGATTTTATGAAGAAGACCTGAAAAGCACAGGCAACAAATGGGATTATGTCAAACTAAAAAGCTTCTACACAGCAAAGGAAACAAGCAACAAACTGAAAAAAGACAGTCCACAGGGTGAGAGAAAATATTTGCAAATTATTCATCTGACAAGGATTAATGTCCAGAATATACAAGGAACTTAAATATTTCAACAGCAGAACTAATCCGATTAAAAAATGGGCAAATGACATGAACAGACACACAAACGGCCAACAAATGTATAAAAATGCTCAGGATTATTAATCATCAGGAAAATGCAGATGAAAACCACAATTAAGTATCATCTCACCCCAGTTAGGGAGGCTGTCATTAAAAAGACAAAAAATAACAGATGCTGGTGAGGATGTGGAGAAAGGGGAACTCACACACTGGCTGGTGGGAATGTAAATTAGCAGGAGGGGACCCAAAAGACCCAGAATTTATTTATATACAATTGTACATTTATTCTTACATGTTTAAGTTTTAGTCACCTTCAAAGTACTCTCCGTTTGATGCAATACACCTATCAAGATGCTTTTCCCACTGCTCAAAACAGTTTTTGAAGTCGTCAGTTTTGATGTCTTTTAGAGCCCCTGCCACTTTTTGTTTCACCTCTTCCACATCAGCGAAAAGTTTCCCTCTGAGGACTTTTTTCATCCAGGGAAACAACAAATAGGACCCCAGGGCACGATTAGTTGAATGGGGGGTGGGGGTGGGGCATGGAGGTCATGTCATTTTTGGTCACAAACTGCTGAACACTCAGCATGGTGTGAGCAGGTGCGTTGTCACGGGGAACCAGTCACCTTTTTGCCACAAATCAGGACATTGCTTCTGCAAATCATGATGCAACCTTCTCACAACTTCCAGATAAAAACTTTGGTTGACCATTTGATCTGTAGAAACAAATTCCGAGTGTACTACAAGGGGTCTGTCCTTCACAAAAGAAAAAAGCTAATTCCATTTTTTGGGGGGGATCTCCCCCATAGTCATATGGAGAACAGTATAGGGTGCTCAAAAAGTCCAAAGAGAACCACCATATATGGTCCAGCAGTCTCACTACTGGGCATTTATCCAAAGGAAAGGAAATCAACATATCAAAGAGACAGCTGCACCCCCACGTTGACCATAGCACTACTGACAAACGCCAAGATACGGAATCAACCTAGGTTCCCACAACAGATCAATGGATAAATAAAATGTGGCATACACACACAATGGAATAGCATTTGACCATAAAAAGGATGAAATCCTGCCACTCACAGCAGCACGGATGGAACCAGAAGACATTATGTTATGTGAAATAAGCCAAGAACAGAAAGTTAAGCATTGTGTGTTCTCACTCATGTGTGGAAGCTAAAATATGTTGATCACATAGAAGTAAAAAGTAGAATAAGTTTTAGTGTTCTGTAGCACCGTATGATGACTATAGTTAACAATAATATATAGTTTCAAGAAGTTAGAAGGAGGATATTGAACGTTTCTAACACGAAGTCACGATAAACATTTGAGATGATGGATATGCCCATTACCTCGATCTTCTCATAATACATTATGTAAGCATCACAATGTATTTCATAAATATGTACAATTATTACTATTGTTATATTTGAGTCGGAGTATCTCTCTGGCACCCAGGCTGGAGTTCAATGGGCGTGAACACAGCTCATCACAGCCTTGACCTCCTAGGCTCAGGTGGATCCTTCAGCCTCAGCCTCCTGGATAGCTGGGACTACAGGCGCGTGCCACTACACCTGGCTGATTTTTTGCTTTATTGTTGAGACAAGGTCTCGCTATGTGGTCTCGAACTCGTGGGTTCAAGCAATTCTCCTACCTCAGCCTCTCAAAGTACTCAGTGCTGGTGGCTCATACCAATATGTACAATTATTATGTGTCAATTAAAAAAAAATAATGTCGACTTCTATAACAACTCTCAAACCTGCCATATACTTGCTATTCCAGGTGTACTGCCAGAACTCAACAGTCTGGAATATGACAATAGCCTACCCACTTGGAGCAATTTTTTTCAATATCCCTTCCTAAACATTTCCAGTTATCCTTCTAAAGAATAGAAATGAGACTGGGTTTGGTGGCTCAGCCTGTAATCCTAGGACTTTGGGAGGCTGAGGCGGGTGGACTGCCTGAGCCCGTGGGTTCGAGACCAGCCCAGGTGACTGGGCGAGACCTTGTCCCTACCTTAAAAAAAAAAAAATTAGCCGGGTGTGGTAGCGCGCGCCTGTAGTTCCAGCTACTCGGAAGGCTGAGGCAGAAGGATCGCCGGAGCCCAGCAGGTCAATGCTGGGGTGGCCGTGAGTGTGCCACTGCACTCCAGCCTGGGCAAAAGAGTGAGACTCCAACTCAAAAAAAAAAAAAAAAAAAAAGAATAGGAATGAGCATGTCACTGCATTCAAAACTTAAAAAAAATTAATTTAAAAAATAAAACATGGCCGGGCTCGGTGGCTCAGCCTGTAATCCCAGCACTTTGGGAGGCCGAGGTGAGTGGATTGCCTGAGTCCGCGGGTTCAAGACCAGGCCGAGCAACTTGGCAAAACCTCGTCTCTACAATAAATCACAAACTAGCCGGGCGTGGTAGCGCGCGCCTGTAGTTTCGGCTACTTGGAAGGCTGAGGTGGAAGGATCGCCGGAGCCCAGCAGGTCGAGGCTGCGGTGGTCGGGAGTGGCCACTGCACTCCAGTCTGGGCGACAGAGTGAGACTCCAACTCAAAAATAAAATAAAATAAAATAAAATAAAATAAAATAAAACATAACCAAATCCACAAAACAAAGCAACACTCAGTTGCTGGCTTCTCACTGTGCCAAGGTTGCAATGCAGCACCCTGAGCGTGGGAAGCTGGCATTGAAGCCAGTCAACCCTCCCTGTCTTCTATTCCACCACGGCTTTTCTAATTGCAAAATCTTTCCTCTGCCTGACCAACCATCTGCTTAGAGAGGGATCACTTTCCCTTTTTTGAGCCTCCGCTAACAGGTTTCTCTACCTGAAATACCCATTTTTAACCCTACACTCATCATCTGTGTCAGAAACAGGAAAGGTGTCACAAACGCAGGGGCAGGTAACGTGCAGAAAGTGTATCGGGTCTACTGGGGCTTGAAAACTGCTCTCACGCAATTCTTTCTTTCAAAGAAAAGCTAGACATTCAGGTTTTTGATGGGAAACGTCTAGATTTTAAAAGTTCACAGCAATGATTTAAAAATCGAAAACCATCTTTTGTAGGCCATTGTGTGTCTTCCAAATACAATAATCCATCTGTAGACTGTCAGTTTGGACATTGATCTTAGTGCCACTGGGCCCCAGGGCTCCAAAGGTGATGAGGACAGGGCCTCTGACCTGACGGCTCTGACCTGATGGTCAACAGCCCCCCACACCCTCTCATCATGCTGTTTACGTGGCACCTGCCTTGGTGTATTCTGGGAGCAAATTGTTCAGTCCTGGGGGGCAGGAGGTTTCTGCCCTCTGTTGTTGGCCACCTTAGCACACCTCCTGACAGGCAGTGAGAGTTCAATTACGATTACATCCATAGAGAGGTGTCCATCTATCAACTCGATTCCAGACTTTTAGTTATTTTGTGTATTTCTTTCCTCATCTGATAACACGCTTTGATGAGGCATGCTCATGTAAGCTATGATTTAACTAAAGAATTTGTCTCCTAAAATGCACACCTAAAATTCATTGTCCTATTGCAATTGTGTGCTACAACTCTAAATGTATGTGTATACTCTAAATGTATGTGTATACGTGTACACACACACACACACACACACACACACACATGTTTTATACACATGATCCTTGCAAGACAGTAGCCAAAATAAAGACTATTTAAAGATGATTTTGGTAAATTTAGGAAATTATTTTAGTCTAGGATAGGCCTTTCATGTGTTAATTTCCAGGTGCAACGTTTTTTCATTTGACAGAAGTACTACCTAGCAAAGTCAGCTTTAATTTTTGCCACAGTTACATAATTTCTAGTTATGTTATTCAGGCATGCTCACAAAACGCACTTGCAGCTGGGCCCGGCGGGACTTAAAGGATGCCAGTCATTTTTCATTGAACCAAACACTCTTATCTCACTAAGCATTAGACTTCAGAGGGGAATCCTTGAACACCGCTATCTATTTCACTCCTCGATTGATCTAAAGTCTAGACACACCATGGTCCAAATGTTTGCCTAGATCCTGCATGGCTGCCAGCTGCAAAGTTTAGAGGCATTAATCCTGCTGAAAAAGAAATATGTTTTTGTTCTTAGTTGAATGTTGTCAGCATGAAGGAGCATAAACATTCTATGCCTTCCTTAGCTGTATAATAGGCAAGTTGGAATCCGTCACATTTCAAACGTTAAAGATTTAGCCCCCTACCATTTTATTTTACGACTCTATGTGACGTTATCATGCACTTGAAGTCACTTGTGTGTGGATTCTTGCATCTTTAATATCGCACTCCATGCCTTGCATTCATTAGGATATATGTGTATTGTCACTGACAGAACTGTGGGGCTTACCTGCAAACTGTTGAAAATGACAAAGAGGACCAACATCCAGAAGTGTCTGTAGGCCATGTGCAGTCCTCCCCAAAGCCACGTCACAGAAATCAGGGCAAAGAGATACAAAATCAGTGGGATTTCTAGAAATTAAAGAGAGAGAGAGAGAGAGAATTTGAGAGATTCTAAATACGACATGATCACACGTCTACACAAAATTATCTTTGGCTTGTTTCTGTGCTGCTCTGCGTGCTTAAGTGCCCATTTTGAGAGAACAACCTTGGAAATCCCATCCGTATGCCAGAGACGAGACGGCACATTGCTGAGTCCACATTTCTTTCTGTTTGGCAAACGGAGCTGCCGGTAGGTCCCGGGGATGGGTCAGGGTGAGCACTGCTCCTCTCCTGGACTGCCACCTGCTGGGCTGCTCAGAAAATACCACCCACAGCTCCTGAGATCGAGAAATCTCGAGAGCCTTCCACCAGAAAATGGCAGACAACTGTAGGCTCCCAGAAGGAGCACATTCCAACTAGGTGCCTCCGAACAAAAATTATACCTTGTCTGTGTGTGGGCGATCAACAAATATGGACTCACCTCCTTTTTCTGATCAAGAAGACACAAACATTTATTACTAAGGTTAAGGGCAAAGATGAAGTGACTGATTCACTACGATCAAGTGAGCTTACTCAGCTCATCATGTTCTAGGGCAAATCGTTTCGACAGTTTTCAGAACTGACTTCCTCAGGGCCAAGGGACTTCATGACTTTTGCCACCTGTCTATTTTGAATTTTCTTTGCTATTTGGGTTTTAGAATAATAACCTTATGGGGGCATTTTTTTTTAGATTAGAAAATATAGTTTATTTAATAGTAAATTAGAAAGAGAGAGAGAGAGAGAGAGAGAAGATTCACCTCCCCAAGGCGAGGGGGGAGGGGATTTTTAATATTTATTTATTTATTTGAGTCGGGGTCTTTCTGGTTGCCCAGACTGGAGTGCGGTAGCATGATCATGGCTCACCACAGCCTCGATCTCCTAGGCTCAGCCGGTCCTTCTGCTTCAGCCTCCCAAGGAGCTGGGACTACAGGCATACGCCACCAAGCCTGATAATTTTTTGATTTTCTCTTTTTTTTTGTAGAGCCGAGGTCTCACTATGTTGCTCAGGCTGGTCTCGAACTCCTGGGCTCAAGTGATCCTCTCATCCTGGCCTCCCAAAGTACTGGGATTACAGACAAGAGCCACTGTACCTGGCCTAGATTTTAATATTTAAATGGCAGGTTATATAATATTAAGACAGTGAATCAGATCTTTGCAGCCATTTCAAACACATGTTGAAACTGTTGAAAGACATCGGGATGGACCACATCCCCGACAACTTTTATAACAGACCTCAAAGTCCTTTACCCACTGTCATCAATTAACACATAAAATCCTCACGCACTATGGAAATTTGAACAGTTAAATGCAACTTTCACAATTTTTTTTTTTTTGAGTTAGAGTCTTACTCTTGTCACCCAGACTGGAGTGCAGTGGCCGCTCCTGGCCACCACAGCCTTGACCTGCTGGGCTCAGGTGATCCTTCCACCTCAGCCTTCCAAGTAACTGGAACTACAGACGCACACCACCAGGCCCGGCTAATTTTTGTGATTTATTGTAGAGACGGGATCTCACCAAGTTGCCCAGACTGGTCTTGAACCCCTGGGCTCAGACAGTCCTCTCGCCTTGGCCTCCCAAAGTGCTGGGATTATAGGCTGAGCCACCGCCAGGTCAACTCTCGCAGTTCGTAAATTTTATTTTATTTGGAAACAATCTCAAACGTACAGAAGAGTTGCTAATACAACAGCAAAGTTTTTTTTTTTTGTTTCCTGAACCATTTGAAAACTGTCAACCTGACCTCCCATCACCCTCTGAATACTTTCATGTGTATTTTTCACAAAGATATGTTCCTACATAAGCACACCGCATTAAATCAGGAAATTGGCACACCTACTTATCTCACTTGGATACAGTCCCCTCCAAATCTCATGGTGAAATGTGGTTCCCGGTCTTGGAGGTGGGAGGTGACTGGTGGGTGGGTGTGGGAGGTGGGTGTGGAAGGTGACTGGGTCACGGGGGCGGACCCCTCATGAATGGTTTGGCTTGTGCCATTCTCGAGGTCAGGAGTGAGCTCTCACTCTTAGTTCACAAGAGAGCTGGCTGTTTTCAAGAGCCTGGCCCCTCCTTCTCTCTCTTGCTTCTGTTCTCGCCACATGACATGCCTGCCCCCCTTCTTCCGCCATGATTGCAGCTTCCTGAAGCCTCACCAGAAGCCCAGCAGATGCCAGCACCATGCAGAACTGCAGGCCAAAATAAGCCTCTTTTGTTTATAAATGACCCAGCCTCAGGTATTCCTTTATAGCAATGCAAAATACAACTACCATCCTCAAATTCCACTTACTTATTTCCAATAGTTTTCTTTGTAGCAGAAAGATCCAGCCTTCCACCACTGGCGTGTCTCTGTAGTCTCTTTGAATCTTGAATGATTCTGCTGGGTGTCTGACTTTCATGACTCTGATGCTTTTGATGATTACCTGACAGTTTTTCTTGTAGAGTACCCTTGAATTTGAGTTTGTTTGATGTTTTCTCATAATTAGATTTAAATTACAAATGTTTTTGCAAGAATCACAGACGTGATGCTAGGTTCCTCTTATAGCATTCTATTAAGCACTACAATAATTTATTTATTTATTTATTTTTTGAGTCAGGGTCTCACTCTGTCACCCAGGCTGGAGTGCAGTGGCACAATCACAGCTCACCACAGCCTCAGCCTTTTAGGCTGAGGCAATCCTCCTGCCTTAATCTCCCGAGTAGCTGGGACTAACAGGTGTGTACCACTATGCCCATTAATTTTTTTTATTTGTAAAGCTGAGGTCTCACTATGTTGCCTAAGCTGGTCTCAAACTCCTGGGCTCAAACAATCCTCCCACCACAGCCTCCCAATGTGCTGGGATTACAGACATGAGCTACTTCGCCTGGCTTCAATTTGTCCCATTTCTGAAGACGCTCATTTTGGTCATGTGATTAAGCACACGTTCTCCACTGTAAAGTTAGTCCTTTCCCTTTTGTAATTAATAAGTGTCTTGTATGTCAGCAATTTAAAATGATGTAAATATCCTTTTCCCTATCAAATGTTTGATCTATCCATAATATGGACTTAGAGATTCCTGCTTCATTTAGTGGGTTATTATCCATTCGTCACATCATTTATTTTGATGTCCAAACTGTCCCTAGTGGGAGCCCCTTCATGATGGTTTCTGTGCCTTTTCTTTAGCAAGTGCTTGCTTTTGGGCTCAAGGTGTTTCAAAGTTTCCCTGCCCCAGTCCGGGTTTCTTTTAGGGGATAATGGCATTAAGGAAGCAAGATCTAGGGTGAGGTATGGTCATAACTGTTGCAACTCCTAGGCTGTCTCAGTAGACAGAGCTGGAGAACACATATGTATATGTGCATGTGCGCACATGCGCACGCGTGCAGACACACACACACACACACACACACACACACACACACACACACACACACAGTCTCTATTTTTCTGTACCTATGTCTATATAATGAAAGCCATTCGTTCATACCAGTCCTTCCTCCAACTCCAGCCCAATACCCATTGGATTCTAGTTTTCTCTCTTCCATATTTGTATCCATTATCTGTCAGTAAAAATCTCTCATATATGGTTCTTTTAAGTTTTACATTTTTACTATTATTATCTTTTTAAAGACAGGGTCTCGCTCTGTCACCAGAGCTGGAGTGCAGTGGTGTGATCACAGCTCACTGCAGTCTTGAGGTCATGAACCCCTGGGCTCACGCAATCCTCCCACCTCTGCCTCTCAAGTAGCTGGACTACAGGTGTGTGCCACCACACCCAGTGAACTAAAAAAAATTCTTTTGTAGGGATGGGAGTCTTATTATGCTGTTTAGGCTGTTCTCAAACTCTTGGCTTCAAGTAATCCTCCTGCCTTGGCCTCTCGAGTTGCTGGAATTGCAGGCGTGAGCATCCAAACCTGGCTGATCTCTCATTATTCTTAGTATACTCACCTAAGCCAAATGTTACCTTCGCTGAATGTAATCAGTTGCCCATTGCTGTCATCCCTTCCCTTGCTCAGGTGGTCTCCCAAACTCACTCGGCTTCTGACATTTCATGTTGGGCTGTGCCCCACCCCTCCCAGGGGTGCCCTCCACACTGTGACTGGATTCTGACACCCATGCTTGGACACCTACCCGCAGACACACAACCTTCCTCTGTACCAGCTAGCAGCTTTAGGATAAAATTGTTTGGGAAAGGAAGGGAAAAGAAAGAACAAGAAGAGAAGGAAAAGAGGGAGAAGGAGACTGGGAGGAGGAAGAAGGAACCCAAGTAATTTTTTGAGAAAAAAGAAAGCTTTAGAAGGGGATGGTGTTGTGCTCAGATACACCCTTAGTCAAAATATATACAAAGTGAGTTATTATTATAATCACACGGGGAAAATAAGAATAGCATAAGAAAAGGATTATATAGATGATAAGCTATTTTGTTATGAAAGTCTTGCAACAGGACAGGAGAGAATATATTAAGATTCATAAGATGCATTTAATTTTGATAAAAATTCATTTCTTAAACAAATCATACCATTTGATAAAGGGCCAGAAGGCTCCTTTTGACTTCTGACAGGACACCTTAATATTTAGGAGACGGCCTAGGCTATGCACATGAAATTTTTCAAAGATTAGGTATCAAGTCTGGCAACTGCATTCTTGGCTTCCACGGCATAAGAACAAAACTCTATTTATGGCTCTGTGTGGAGAACAAAGGGACATGCACATTTTCTGCGAGCAACTAGAAGCCATGTTTTCCAAGTCTGGCATGCTTGCTCCTCAAAGTGCCCGGAGCAAGGCGAGTGTGGTGTGTTGACAGAGCTTAGCGGGAAAGCCAATGGAGCAACTGACTGGAAACATCCATGGCTCACGGTTTTCTGGAATCCTGCAGAAAAGTGTGGTAGCTTGGCACTCCAGACAAGAAATTCGGCAAGGAAAAAAGGCAGTCATAAATAACTCAGTGGACTTAACAATAGATGCCAGGCATGTTTTCCAGAAGGGCAACAATGATTAAGACGATTTCAGATGGAAGAAACAG